GGAAAGGTTAGGGCTTTCTGAACTAGAGGGATTGAACTAGAGCAGGGGGTAGGCAACCTTGGCTCTTTTATGACTTGTGGACTTCAACTTCCAGAATTCCTGAGCCAGCATGGCTGGCTCAGGAATTCTGGAAGTTGAAGTCCACAAGTCATAAAAGAGCCAAGGTTGCCTACCCCTGACGGTCCTAGAGTGTTTATGATCTAGTGGTGAAGGCCCCAGGCTAAAAACCAGGAGACTGTGAGTTCCAATTTTGCCTTCGGCATAAAAACCACATGGGTGACTTTAGTCCACTCACACTCTTCTCAGTGCATGACATCAGGGTCAGGAGAAATTTTCTGACAGTTAGAACAATTAATAAATGGAACGACTTGCCTCCAGAGGTTGTGGGTGCTTCATTGCTGGAGGTTTTTAAGAAGAGACTGGACAGCCATTTGTCTGAAATGGTATAGGGCAGGAGTAGGCAACCTTGGCTCTTTTATGACTCATGGACTTCAACTCCCAGAATTCCTGAGCCAGCCATGCTGAGGGGAAAGGGAGAGGTTTCCAAGCTGGGCCATGCTGGCTCAGGAATTCTGGGAGTTGAAGTCCACGAGTCATAAAAGAGCCAAGGTTGCCTACCCCTGGTATAGGGTTTCCTGCCTGAGCAGGGGGTTGGACTAAATGACCCCCAAGGTCCCTTTCCAACTCTGTTATTCTGTTACAGGTAGTCCTCGACTTATAATCAGAATTCAACCCCAAATTTCTGCTGCTAAGTGAGACACTTGTTAAGTGAGTTTGGTCCCAATTGACAACCTTTCTTGCCATACTTGTTAAATGAATCACTGCAGTTGTTAAGTTAGTAACACACAGCTGTTAAGTGAATCTGGCTTCCCCATTGATTTTGCTTGTCAGAAGGTCACAAAAAGTAATCACGTGACCCCAGGACACTGCAACCATCATAAACATGGGTCAGTTGCCAAGCATCTGAATTTTGATCATATGACCATGGGGAAAAATTGTCATCACTCACTTTTTTTTCAGGGCCATTGTAACTTCAAACAGTCATTAAACAAATTGATGTAAGTTGAGGGCTACCTGTATTCTGACAAGTCAATTCCTGTTAGAACCAATGGATCAACACTTGGCTGATCCGAAGAATGCAGACCCTGAATTTGTGGGAAAACACTAGGAATAAAATCTGAGATTGAACTGTTTAAAGATTTGAAAGATCAGGTTAGGGACAGATTGTAATGCAGAAAATCTATCTTGCTGAGAGTCCAAACAAACTTGATGATGCGTAACCAATCAATCCATCTGGGAATGAATCTGGGGAACCTGTTTCTGATAGGGAATCTATACAAGTAGTCCTTAACTCACAACAATTTGTTTAATGACTGTTTGAAGTTACAACAGCCCTGAAAAAACTGAGTTATGACCAGTTTTCACGCTTATGACCGTTGCAGCATCCCCAGGGTCACCTGATCAAAATCCGGATGCTTGGCAACTGGCTCACATTTATGACGGTTGCAGTGTCCCAGAGTCACGTGATTTCCCTTTTGCTTCGGCAAGCAAAGTCAATGGGGAAGCCAGATTCACTTAACAACCGTGTCACTAATTTAACAATTGCAGTGATTCACTTAGCAACGGTGGGAAAAAGTCGTAAAATGGGACAAAATTTACTTAACAGTTGTCTCGCTTAGTAACAGAAATGTTTGGCTCAAATGTTTGGTCATAAGTTGAGGACCACCTGTATTCTACTAGAGCATGTTGACAGTCCTGGAGAATCCTACTGGTTTCACTTGACTAGAGTAGAGCCCCTCTCCCCTGCAACAAGGAAGTACAAACAGTTGTAAGTCGTGACAGTCATAAAACGGATTGGTTGGGTGACTGACCTGATTTTATGACCTTTTTTGCAATGGCAAATGCTAATTTTCATCAAAACCATCATAAAACGCCAAAAATGCAGCCTGGTTGCTGAGTGCTCAAAATTCGATCATGTGATCGCAGGGGGGTGGGTCATAAATAACTACCAGGTAGGTCTGTCATAACTTTGAATGATCTCTAAAGAATTGGTCATAAGATGAGAACTACCTGTATTCTGGTTCTGTTGAAATTGGGGCAACTACAGTACTTCTATATTTTATTTCTGCAAGTGTATTAATAGATAGACATTCAGATCAGATTTCTCTCCTACCTTTTAGACTGATACAGGTCTTCCTTTTAGGCTAAAGGATAATTTTAGGAATTCCTGTTGATGATCAGATGATCATTACAATTTTGTCCTCGTTTGGAAATACGACTACAAGTAATCCTCAACTTACAACCATTCATTCAGTGACCGTTTGAAGTTACAACAGCATTGAAAAAAGTTACGGCCGTTTTTCACACTTACAACCATTGCAGCATCCCCATGTTCATGTGATCAAAATTTGGATGCTTGGTATCTGGCTCATATTTATGACTGTAGCAGGGTCCCGAGATCATGTGATCCGCTTTTGTGACCTGACAAGCAAAGTCAACGGGGAAGCCAGATTCACTTAACAACCATGTTACTAATTTAACAACTGCAGTGATTCACCTAACAACTGTGGCAAGAAAGGTCATAAAGTGGAGCAAAACTCAATTAACAACTGTCTCACTTAGCAACATAAATTCTGGGTTCAATTGTGGTCGTAAATCGAAGACTTCCTGCATTTTGGATACCAATTGTACACCAAATTGAAGATAAATATAGACAGTTTTCCAAAACTTTGCAGTTCATCCCATGACATTCCAAATTCCAAATATTTTCATTCACTGTAAAGCCTTTTCTTACTATTCCACTCGTGAACATCCTGTGGATTCTCCTGCCTCAGTTTGATTGTGCTGCCTATAAAATGAAAAGGGAAATAGATTGGAAAATAGAAAGGTTGTCCCTGAAAGTTGACTGTACTCAGCCCCCCAAGAAGCCAACACAGTGCTAGGCTACATTAACAGAGGGATAGAATCAAGATCACATGAAGTGTTAATACCACTCTACAATGCCTTGGTAAGGCCACACTTGGAATATTGCATCTAGTTTTGGTCACCACAATATAAAAAAGATATTAAGACTCTGGAAAGAGTGCAGAGAAGAGCAACAAAGATGATCAGAGGACTGGAGGCTAAAACATATAAGGAACGGTTGCTGGAATTGGGTATGTCTGGTTTAATGAAGAGAAGGACGAGGGGGGACATGATAGCAGTGTTCCAATATCTCAGATGTTCTACAAAGATGTTCTACAAAGAAGAGGGAGTCAAACTATTCTCCAAAGCACCTGAAGGCAGGACAAGAAACAGTGGATGGAAACACATCAAGGAGAGAAGCAACCTAGAACCAAGGAGAAATTTCCTGACAGTTAGAACAATTAACCAGTGGAACAACCTGCCTCCAGAAGTTGTGGGTGCTCTATCACTGGAATTTTAAAAAAAGACTGGACAGCCATTTGTCTGAAATGGTACATAATATCCTGGAGCAGTGGGTTGGACTAGAAACAAGGTCCCTTCCAAATCTGTTATTCTATTATTTCATTTTAATCTACAGTGACCTCTAGTTGCTTCTGTTTCTGGAAGCACTTGTTTGTTATTTGAAACAATCTGTTGGATTTATGGAAAATGAGCTAGCTACTCTCACATTCCCAGCAACTGACTGGGCTGGCAATCCCCTCCACCACTGTTGGGAAAAAAACAGTTTAAAAAAAATAAAAAAAATTCTATTGAGAAATAGACATACAGTACCAGAAGAGATAGAGAAATGAGAATTTGGTGCCACCTAGAGTTGCGAAGGAAAAAAAAATCTGCTAGCAGTGTTCCTCAATTCTGTAAAGTTTAATTGATGGATAGCCTTCAATTCCCGGGATTTCTCTCAACACAAAATGGTGTTATAAACCTTGCAACGCTTAAGGCACCCACTTCATAACTTAAAACCTCCATTCCCTGTCCCTCAGAGGGTCCTGTCCCCATCCCCTTCTGGCCAACGTGTGCTTCCAGTGTAGAAAGTTAATTGACATACAGTATAGAGGTAGTCCTCGACTTACGACCACAGGTGGGACCAGGATTTCCATTGCTAAGCAAGGTGGTTAAGTGACCCCTCCGCCTGATTTTACAACCTTTTTTCCCACAGTTGTTAAGCAAATCATTGCAGTTGTTATTGCGCTGAGATAATCCAGGAGTAAACACAGTAAACAGTGGTTTGTATTAAATAGTGTTTTATCTTACACAATCTACAATATCATACACCAGCAACAATATACATACATGTGCTAATACAGCAGGATCCTACAAACTACAATTACAGCAGGAAACGGAAGAGAGAGAACACATCAGCAGAGCCTTCCCTTTATACCAGGGGTCTTCAAACTTGGTCCTTTTATGACCAAGAATTCAACTCCCAGAATTCCTCAGCTAGCATGCCTGGCTAAGGAATTCTGGGAGTTGAAGTCCACAAGTCATAAAAGGGCCAAGTTTGAAGAGCCTTGCTTTATACAAATGCTCTTAAAGAGACACAGACCCTGCTGTGTCATTCCCATCATTACATTACATCTTACATCTTACATTACATAAGCTGGTTAGCTGTTAAATCAATATCTTGACATGAACCACCTGGTTGTTAAGCAAATCTGGCTTCCCTCATTGCCTTCGCTTGTCGGAAGCCAGCTGGGACAGTCACAAATGGCGATCAGGTGACCCTGAGATGCTGCAACCATCATAAATCCATGCTGATTGCCCAGCTGCTGAATTTCGATCATGTGACCATGGGATGCTGCGATGGTCACACATTTGAAGATTGGTTGCAATCACTTTTTTTCAGGGCCGTTGTAACGTCCAATAGTCGCTAAATGAATGGCTGTAAATTGAGAACGACTTGTATCAGAAACTTCTGGCAAGTTGTGAAAGTTGCCTCATTTGTTTCTACCTCAATGGCCCTCCCGACTTGCAGACCATTTGACAAAAAACATTGACGTCAACTAATATGTCGACTTTTTAAAATCTTCTTTTCCTAGATTTCCCCCAGGGATCGCCACAAACGGTACGAAGAGATATCGGCCTGTCTGTAACACACAGGTAAGTCTCTCAGAAGATTGAACATTCAGGTCCAGTCAGCTTCTGTCACAGGCTGATTTGGGCCTCCTGCAAGCCCTTGACTGACCTGGGTGGGGCTGGAATAATTTCCCAGCTCAGTTGCATAATATGCTGGGAGGAGAAAAGTTCGAAGTAACAAGAACCGCCTCAGAAAACCTACCTGATGGCATTTTTGCTTATCCAACTTTTCTTGTGCATTTGGCTATGGCCCAAGCTATTATGAGGAATTGTCTGGAATCATGAGAGTTATACAGGTAGCCCTCAACTTCAAGAACAATGGGGACCAAAAATCGCTAAGCAAAGCGATTGTTAAGTGAGTTGTACCCAATTTTATGACTTTTTTTGTCATGGTTTGTTGACAAAGCAGGAGTCTTCAAACTTGGCCCTTTTAAGATTTGTGGACTTCAACTCCCAGAATTCCTCAGCCAGGCATGCGTGCCTGTCTGATGAATTCTGGGAGTTGAAGTCCACAAGTCCTAAAAGGGCCAAGTTTGAAGACCCCTGCAGTAAAGTGAAACAGGCAGTCGTTAAGCAAACCCAGCTTTCCCCATTGGTTTTGCTCGTTGGAAGCTGGCTGGGAAGGTGGCAAATGACAATTACATGCCCCCCTCTCATCCCCCCCCCCGCACACTGCAATCATTGTAAATACATGCCGGTTGCCAAGCGCCCAAGTTTTGACCAAGTGACTGAGAAATGCCTCAATGGTCAAAAGTGCAAGGATGTTGTAAGTCCCTTTTTTTCCAGTGCCACTGTAATTTCAAATGGTCACTAAATGAATGGTTGTAAGTCTAGGACAGTGGTTCTCAACCTGTGGGTCAGGACCCCATTTGGGGTCGAACGACCATTTCACAGGGGTCGCCAAACAAGGCTGTCCGCCATTTTTTTCCCCTTTTCTTTGGCCACGCCCCTGGCACCCGGTGATGTATAAGTGGTTCGGGGTCACCACAACATGGGGAACTGTATTATGGGGTCGCGGCATTAGAAAGGTTGAGAACCACTGGTCTAGGACTATCTGTAGTCCAAAGTACGACCTGGTCAATGGGTTGCCTGCTCTTGTTCTAAGCAAAGTTTTGGATGCTTTCTATCAAAATTAAGTACTCAGATTCAGGGACTTTGAAATAGTTGCAAAGGACTCTGCTCTGTTTTTTTGTTTTGTTTTGTTTTGCATTGTGGATTTAAGGCCATTTATTTGGGGGTTGCTTTCTGATAGGGGACTCCTCATACTCTCCGTGATAAGGAACTTCACGGTTACTCTTCCCTTGTTTAATGGATGCTTTTTGTTAAGCCTCTCTCTCCAGCAACAACCCAAAAACGATAGTGGAGAAAGCTTGGCAGGCTTCTATAAGAGTGTTTTTCAACCTTGGTTATAGATGTGAGGACTTCAACTCCCAGAATTCCCCAGCCAGGGAGTTAAAGTCCACATATCTTCATAATGTCCACAATTCAGAAACACTGATCTATAAGAATCTGAAGTAAGGTAGGTTATGCTGAGACAAAACCCCATCTAAAGACTGCTTGTTAGGGATTTTCGGGTGTTTTGTGGTGGTTTCAGATACAGTTGTCCTCGGTTTTGAATCTTCCCATCCTTCATCATCTATTGTTTTCCTTTTAAGGAAGGAGGGAAGGAAATAACAGCTGTGATTAGTTTGACATTAAAAGTCCTTCCTGAAAGCACCCAGCATAAGAATATGAAGAAGCATCCTAGATAAAATGAGGGATGTGAGAGATTAAGAATTAGAATTGATAATTTCTTTTTTTTAAATTTAAATTATTGTAATTGTAAACTGATAAAGTTATAAAATAGGTTTAATAGTAGTAGAAATTTAAAATAGAAATGGAATATTTAAATGTATCGTGTTAATTGAGGGGAATAGAGGGGATAGTGAAATGTATTGAGTTGAGTTGTTTATATATTTCTTTACTTTTGAATGTTTGACCACCCAACCTCCACGGTGGGTCCTGAGTACTTTTTCTTAAGAATTTAAAAAAACCAATAAAATGTGTTAAAAAAAAAAAAGAAGTAGCATCCTAGAAATCCTTGCAGCGTTACAGAACTCCTGGTGACTTGTTCAGTTTGCATGCAAAGATGGTTACGTCAGATACAAGATACATGCCAAAACCTAGCTACTGTATAGCATTTGGTTCTTAATCAGTGAACAGTCTAATATCTGATATGATAGATTTGACTTTGATTCTATAACATCCATGGAGCTCCAATTCCTACTAGTATTTTTATTTGCCTTTCTCTGGATTTACAAGACTACTCTAAAATATTAGGTCTTCTGTAGGGAAGGAATGGAGCCAAAACATTCCCCAGAGAATTTAGCCACATAATACAGATAGTTCTCAACTTACGATCACAATCGAGCCCAAAAGTTCTGTTGCTAAGCAAGATAGTTAAGTGAATTTTGCCCCATTTTACGACCTTTCTTCCCACAGGTGTTAAGGGAATGACTGCAGTTGTTAAGTTAGTAACATGGCTATTAAGTGCATCTGGCTTCCCCATTGACTTTGCTGGTCAGAAAGTTGCAAAAGGTGATCACGTGACCCTGGGACACTCCGACTGTCATAAATATGAATCGGTTGCCAAATGTCCGAATTTTGATCACGTGACCCTGGGGATGCTGCAACGATCATAAGTGTGAAAAACAGTCATAAGTCACTTTTTCAGTGATGTCATTTTGAACGGTTGCTAAATGAACTGTTGTAAGTCGAGGACTACCATTATTTTGATAGGCGGCCTCGTCGTTTGCCTGTGTATCTTTCACCACTAATATTGTTTTCCTTAATTCAGTGTCTTTTTTTATAGCTGTGTTCTGTTTCCTCTCCTTCAGGTTTTCCACAAAATCCTGGCTCTCTCAGGTGTGCCAAGTGTGTCAGAAAAGCATGATGTTTGGAGTAAAATGCAAACACTGCAGGTAAGCAGGTGACAGTGGCATTCCCCCTTGCGATGGAAAATTATAATCTATAAAAATACCGCAAGCCAACAAAGAACGCCGGCAGGGATTTACTTGGGGAATTCAACAGAAAGAGAGGAGGAAAATGACTTAGAGAAGCTGCATATTCTGAAGACTGCACACTCAGCTCTAGAGCAGACACAGTCATCCCCTGAATGGCTGCTGATTACAAGAGTTGCTGTGTAAAAGCTGCTGATTGCCCAGCGAGTGACTAAATGACTACTTCCCTGCTGAGTAAACAGAGACCGTACAGAAAAATATAAAGCAGCCAGGTTCCTAAGAGCACTCACTTGCTGTGTACAAGTTAGTGGGAATTTTGGGGAGAGTCCCAAACAAATGTTTCTTCTTTAGTCAAAAGTTTATCTTTTGCTAAATGAGAGAGCCTGGGAAGAGAATAAAAAAAATGAAAGCTTTTTTTTGGGGGGGGGGGATGGGGGTGGACCGACAATGCCCTGAATAGAAAAAGCGAAGGACTGGGGCCTGTAATTATAATACTTAGTCTTTCTGCCAGAAAAGAGTCAAAAGTGAATGAATCACTGAATGGCTGTGGTGATTAATCAGTTCAAATAGAAGTCTCTGCTTTGGAAAATGCCTGTGGAGCAACTTAAAATGGTCAAACGGGGAAAAAAAGATCATCGGGTGAGAATAACAATTAGAAGCAAGAGTTGCTGAAAGTACTCTGTGTAATTCCCTCCCCCCTCCCCTGCATTCAACAGAAGAAAAGGAGATCTTGCAAAATGGGATTATAGGATGGTTGATTTCTAAAGGTGGAGACGATGCAGTTGTACTCTACAAGAACTAAAAAAAAAAAGTCATTATTGTCTGACATACATATATATATAAGTGGTCCTCGACTTACAACACAACTGACCCCAAATTTCTGTTGTGGTGAGACAGTTGAGTTTTGCCCCATTTTATGACCCTTTTTGCCACAATTATTAAGTGAATTACTGCTGTTGTTAAGCGGGTAACACGGTTCTTAAGTGAATCTGGCTTCCCCATTGATTGTCAGAAGGTCACAAAAGGGGATCACATGACACTGGGACATGGCAACCGTCATGAACGTGAGTCAGTTGCCGAGCATCCAAATTTTGATCGTGTGACCATGGGGATGTTGCAATGAGGGTAATTGTGAAAAACCACTATAAGTCATTTTTTTTTACATTACATTCAAACAGTCACTAAACCAGGGGTAGGCAATCTTGGCTCTTTTATGACTCATGGACTTCAACTCCCAGAATTCCTGAGCCAGCATGGCTCAGCATGGAAACCTCTCCCTTTCCCCTCAGCGTGGCTGGCTCAGGAATTCTGGGAGTTGAAGTCCACGAGTCATAAAAGAGCCAAGGTTACCTACTCCTGTACTAAACGAATGGTTGTAAGTTGAGGACTGATTGGACCCATCAGCTCATGAAATGTGCTATTTGCAAGAATTAAGAATCCGAGGATATACAGAACAGCATCCAAAATACAAGTAGTCCTTGATTTATGACCACATTTGAGACCAGAATTTATATGGTTAAGCAATGCAGTTGTTAAGGGAGTCGCACCCAATTTTATGACATTTTTTATCAAGGTTGTTAAGCGAATCACTTGCAGTTGTCAACAAGATGATTGTTAAGCAAATTTGGCTTCCCCCATTGACTTTCCTTATCGGAAGCCAGCTGGAAGTCGCGAATAGCATTCACATGACCCAAGGACACTGCAAACTTCATAAATCCATGCCAATTATCAAAGGGCCCAAATTTTGATCACATAACCGTGAGGATGCTGCAACATGTGAAAGGACCAGTGCTGCTTTAGCTTCAAATGGTCACTAAATGAATGGTTGTAAGTCAAGGATTACCCTCTGGTTCTAATGTTAGTAATTTGGTCTTATATTGTCTAGGGGATGACTCCTTCTATATTACTTCTCAGGTTTCTAAATTTCTTTTAAGAGCTGTAACTATTAGAGGAGAACGTTGTAATTCCCTTTAGCCAAGGCTTCTCGTGTTAACTGTTTGTGATTGTATTTTTTTTTTTTGTTGCACTTGCATTTTGGTCTGTGACTGTAAAATAAAAAATTATTATACCCTGTATTTCAACTCTACTCACAAGTATTCACCATATGTGAAAATAAATGTTTAAATTGTTTAAAAAAAAAAGCTACGATTATATTATCATGGTCTTTGAAAAAAATCTAGAAGTACCAAGACTTTCAACAATCTAGTTCAGGGGAAAATAGAAAATTGCAAATCAACGATTAGTCATACAGCAGTTTCCAATACGGAAATAAAATCTGGATTCTCTAAATCAGTGTTTCTCAATCTTAGCACCTAAGACGTGTGGACTTCAACTCCCAGAATCCCCTAGCCAGCCAGTGCTGGCTGGGGAATTCTGGGAGTTGCAGTCCACCTGTCTTCAAGTGGCCAAGGTTGAGAAACCCTGTCTAGCTGATGCATATGAGATGAGTTGCTCTTCACAGGATTGATGCTTTATTGGGAAACTGACTTGAATGAGTTACTGGAGAGACTGCTGGTGAGGTTAAGAAGGTAAATCAGAATCGTTGGAGTAGAACTCTTTTAAAAGTAGAACTTTAGGAAGTTAGATCAGGGTTTCTCAACCTCAGCATCTTTACAGTACGGATGTGTGGATTTCAACTTGCAGAATTCCCGAGCCAGCAGGAGGCTGGCTGAGATTGAAAAGCACCGAGTTAGATTTTGATGCTTATATTTTCCATGGCTTCAAAAAAAAAAAAAAATCCAACCTAATGTAATGGTTAGGAGGCTGGTTTAGGTTCACAAAAACAAGCCTTCTTATTTCCATTTAATGACAGAAGTCATTGGTTGAGCTTTGATCAATGCTAGTTTGGGGTAAACGGGAATTTCATTCTCACACAGGTTCAGGATATTGAACTAGACATCCACAAAGCTTCCTAGCCAAGTTCTGTGGCTGAATTTGGTCTTTCCAATCCCAGCTTCACACTCTGATCTGTGCCTCCTGCTTTCTCCTGAAAAAAACAGTGGGAGTATTTTCTCTGTCCACAATTTAGCTTAGTTTGTACCTAATATGTCTTTTCCCTTTTGCAGGTTAAAATGTCATAACAAATGCACCAAAGAAGCCCCACCTTGTAGAATATCTTTCTTACCCAGTAAGTGCTTTTTTATTCTTTGTAAACTTTTCTTCCTCTTACCGGATTACTTGCTGTTTATGTTCAGTTTTTCTGTTCATTTATATCCAGTTTTGCCCACCATATTATAAAAAGATGCAGAGACTCTGGAAACAGTGCAGAAAAGAGCAACAAAGATAATTAGGGGGCTGGAAGGCTGAAACATATGAAGAATGATTGCAAGAATTGAGTTTATCTAGTCTAGTGAAAAGAAGGGACTAGAGGTGACATGATGGCAGTGTTCCAATATTTGAGGGGCTGCCACAAAGAAGAGGGGGGGTGTCAATCTATTTTCTAAAGCACCAGAAGGCAGGACAAGAAGCAGTGGATGGAAGCAGAGAGAAACAACCTGGAATTAAGGAGAAACTTCCTAATAGTGAGAACAATTAACCAGTGTGATAGTTTGCCTTCAGAGGTTGTAGGTGCTCCATCCCTGGAGGTGACACTGAAGAGACTGGACAGCCATAGTTCTAGAATGGTATAGGATCTCCTGCTTGAGCAGAGCGTTGGACTAGAATAGAATAGAATAGAATAGAATAGAATAGAATAGAATAGAATAGAATAGCTGGAAGGGACCTTGGAGATCTTCTAGTCCAGCCCCCTGATCAAGTAGGAGAACCTATACCAAATATGTCAAACTCGCAACGTCATGTAATGTTGCACAACGTAGAGGGAGAGTTTTGCCAATGCTGGCAATGGGGTGGGCGCAGCTTCTGCATGACGTGTCCGGCTTGTGGGCCGGCAGTTTGACACCCCTGACCTATACTACCTCAGACAAGTGGCTGTCTAGCCTCTTTTTAAAAATCTCCAGAGATGGAGTGCCCACGATTTCTGGAGGCAAGCTGTTCCATTGGTTGATTGTCCTCACTGTCAGGAAGTTTCTCCTTAATTCCAGGTTGCTTCTCTCTTTGATCAGTTTCCAACCATTGTTTCTCATCCTTCCCTCTGGTGCTTTGGTGAATAACGTGACCCCCTCTTCTTGGTGGCAGCCACTCAAATACTGGGATACTGCTATCATCTCCCCTATTTCTTCTTTTCTTTAGACTAGCCAAACCCAAGTCCTGCAGCCGTTCTTCGTATGTTTTAGTCTCCAGGCCTTTGGTCATCTTAGTTGCTCTTCTCTGAATTTTTTCCAAACTCTCAACATCTTTTTTTGTGATATGGTGACCAAAATTGGATGCAGTATTCCAGATGTGGTCTGACTAGGGTTTTATGAAGCGGTACTAAATACCTCGCGTGATCTTGAACTAGAAGACCTAGAAGATCCCTTCCAAACTCTGTTATTCTGAATTCAGTGTTGCTGTTGTAGCTTTAAGAAGGCTAAGTAAAATGCTGACTTTCTCTTCTCTCTGTTTCAATAGTACCACGGTTAAGGAGAACAGAGAGTGTCCCTTCCGATATCAATAATCCGGTGGACCGGCCTTCAGAACCACAGTTTGGGACCCTGCCCAAAGCCCAAGCTAAAAAGGTACAGTATTGAGTTTTACAAAGAACATGCACAGAGCCATGTGGGGTGAGGACAAAGCCAAACCCACCGCACAGTGTTTAGCAAACACATTTTAGTGAAACTTGTGCTACTGAAAGCTAGTATAGGTAGTCCTTGTCTTATGACCACAATTGGAACCAGAACTCCTGTTGCTAAGTGAGTTAAGTGAGTCACACTCAGTTTTACAACATTTTTTGCCAAGGTTGATAGGAAATCACTGCCACTGTTAAGTAAATCAAGCAGTCGTTAAGTGAATCCAGCTTCCCTCCTTGAGTTTGCTTGTCAGAAGCTGGCTAGGAAGATTGCAGATGGCAGTCACATGATTCCAAGATGCTGTAACTATGAACATGTGACTGCAGCTGTGCCAGTTGTAAGTGTGCGGATCAGGTGGAAAGTCTCTTTCATCAGTGCTGTTGTAATTTCAAACGGTTGCTAAACGAATGGTTATAAGTTGAGGATTACCTGTATCTAGATGCCAGATTTTAGCAGCATTGTAATCTATACTGGGGATCCCCAACCTTTTTTGGCACCAGGTTTTGTGGTAGACAGTTTTTCCACAGACCAGGATGTGGGGGGGAGGAGGAATGCACAACCCAGATTCCTCTCGTGCAGTTTACTGTGCGGCCCAGTTCCTAACAGGCCATGGACCGGTACTGGTCCATGCCTAGGGGTTGGGGACCCCTGATCTATCGAGTCAGACATCTTAAGATTAAAAGGGGTTTAAGTATCTTGTGAGTTGCCCATCCTGGCCTAAAGGGTTGGCCAGACATAGCTAGTTATAGCTTGATCTTGGAGTCTTAAAACAAAGCTTTCTGTCTAAGGAAGGGAAGCGAAGAACGGAGCTTTGTCTCATCTCCTCAAAAGTTGCTGCTATCCAAGAATTCTGTGTTGCTTTGATCTCTGACAGGATCATCCGACAGCAATCAATCATCTCGATTCCAGTAGCAACCCGTCTTCTACCACCTCTTCCACACCATCCTCTCCAGCACCCTTCCCGTCTTCCAACCCCCCCAGCGCAACGCCTCCCCCAAACCCATCTCCCATGGGCCAGTGGGACAGCCGGTTCAACTTCCCAGGTAAGTTTTTTTCAAAAGAACAAAAAGCCCTTTTATGTAGTCTGCCCAGCCCAAGAAGAGATAAAAATAAAAACTCAGTAAAGATGCAACGTGTTTGTCTTAATATACTTTTTTTTTTGTCTTGGCACCTTGTTTACATTTATTTTATCAGTCACCCACTAACAAGAGTTCTCTGAGTGATGTTCAGATGTAAACAATAAAGCTGCCCAACCCACATTTATTATTTATTAAAGTTATATGCTGCTTATCTTGCAATTTTAATGATGGAAATGATCCACCTTCAGCTTGTTCCAAGAGTGCCCCAAACAAACAAAAAAAACCACTTAGTGTTATGATACTTAATGTATGCAATTAAAAATCCTGCCACAAACCCTTTTTTGCCTGCTGGCAATTTTGTGGTGTGTCTCCAGCAGACCACGCAAACGTCAAGTCTGCTCAGAGAAGTTGGGCACTTGCAAAATATTCTTAGGCTGAAACTTTTGTGGAATAGAACAGTGTTCATATGTTCTTGGCAGGTATCTGTTCATAAGACCTTCTGCTGTAATTCATTTCTTTGCCCATGCGTTCTCTGGGAATTTGTGTCCTTGCTAAAACACACGGATGTCTTTCCATTTCTGGAAAAACCAAACATTACAAACTATGACCACAACTCAGTCCAAAATTTCCGTTGCTAAGCAAGACAGTTAAATGAGTTTTGCTCCATTTTGCGACCTTTTTTGCCACAGTTGTTAAATGAATCACTGCAGTTGTTAAGTTAGTCGCCTGCTTGTTCAGTGAATCTGGCTTCCCCATTGACTTTGCTTGTCAGAAAGTCTGCAAAAGGTAAATCACATGATCCTGGGACATCGCAACCATCATAAATATGAGTCAGTTGCCAAGAATCTGAATTTTGACCACGTGGCCCCGGGGATACTGCAGTGGTCGTAAGTGTGAAAAATGGTCATAAGTCACTTTTTTAATGCTGTTGTAACTTTGAATGGTCACTAAATGAACTGTTGTAGAGCCCTGGTGGCGCAGTGGTTAGAATGCAGTACTGCAGGCTACTTCTGCTGACTGCCAACTGCCAGTAGTTCAGCAGTTCGATTCTCACCGGCTCAGGATTGACTCAGCCTTCCCTCCTTCCGAGGTCGGTAAAATGAGGACTCAGATTGTTGGGGACAATAGGCTGACTCTGTAGACTGCTTAGAGAGGGCTGTAAAGCACTGTGAAGCGGTATATAAGTCTAAATGCTATTCCTATTATAATTTGAAGACTACCTATATCAAGTACTGTGCAGGTAATCCTTGACTTATAGCTATTAGTTTACTGGCCTTTGGAAGTTACGACAGTACTGAAAAAAGTGACTTATGATCCTTGCACTTAAGGACTGATCCGGTGTTCCTGAAGTCATATGATCAAATTTAGCCTCTTGGTAACTGGGATGGATTTATGACGGTTGCAGAATCCCAAGGTCCTGTGATCGCCGTTTGCTACCTTCCCAACTTCTGACAAGCAAAGTCAAAGTGGGAAGCCGGATTTGCTTAATAACTACATGCTTCCCTTAATGACCATGGTGGCTTGTTTAACAACCATGGGAAAAAGGTTGTAGAATTGGATGTGACTCACTTAAAAACCACTTTACTTAGCAACAGAACTTTCGATCTCAGTTACAATTCTAAGTCTGTTTGCATCTTTTATCTTTAGGGAAAAAAACTCATGGCTCTACCTGTATTACACTTAAAATCCATCTCACCATAAGTATGTTGATTAAAAGCACACATTCAAGATAATGATTGTTGACATGTCCCTTCAGTTCAGAAGCTTAAAAAATGTCTGGTGTTATTGGTGAATAGACTGGCAGTAGAGTTAGTCCTTGACTTACGACCACAGTTGAGCCCAATATTTCTTCTGTTAAGCAAGACAGTTGTTAAAGTCACGCCTCATTTTGTAATCTTTTTGGCCACAGTTGTTAAGTGAATCACTCTATTTGTTAAGTGAATCGTGCGGTTGTTAAGCAAATCTGGCTTTCCCCATTGACTTTCCTTGTCGAAGGTCACAAAAGGGGATCACATAACCCCAGCACAGCACAACTGTCATAAGTACATGTCAGTTGCCAAGCACCCAAATTTTGATCATCTAACCCTGGGTTGTAAATCCCTTTTTTCAGTGCTGTTGTAAGTCCGAATGGTCACTAAATGAATGGTTGTAAGTCAAGGACTCCCCATAGGTAGCAGAAAAGCTGGGGAAAGGAACTCGCGTTGTTGTTTTTTGTGACTTGAGGCAATACAACCCAGGTCTTTTTCTCCACGAGAGATAGCATTATTTTTCTTTCTGCCTCTTCTAAATCTAAAGAGAAATAAAAGCATTTTCCAACTGGCTGCATGCTTCTCTAACTGCCTCCACTCAAAAGCACTCTCCCTGGTTGTTTGTTTGTAGTTTACTAACTCTGAACTGGGATTAATTTACTACACACACACACTAATCGGCTCATGTGCTAACTACTGTGACCTTTTATTTTGTTTTTTTTTTCTTTTTCTTCTCCTTTTCTGCCTAAACCAAAATAAACAGCCGCTCACTACATTCAGCATAGACAACAGTTTATCTTTCCAGGTAAGTTCATCTTCTAACAGGTAGCTGCTCAAACATCACTTTGTTCTCCTACAAAGGTCTTTTTATGTAAGCACAGAGAGAGAGAGAGATGCATTTCTCTTCTGCATGTTGCACTCAAACCGTACCCCTCCTCGCTGAAAACACACAATTCGTTTTTCTTGAGACATCATTTCTACCAATTCCTGTTATTCTATGTCGAAAGTTTTATAGCTGTGTGGTTATTGCAACATAATAAAGTATGATCTTTGACCTTCCTCTGCACAAATCAATTCAATACGTTTCCCTCGGTTATGAACAACTCGACTATCCTTTGAGAGATATTTCCTTACCACGTCCTTCCAGCAGTGACAGAGCTTCCAATGTGCTGACTTCGCTGGAAAAGTTGGGATACATTCAGAGATGTAGCTGCCTTGGAAATAGCCCATGTTGGACTGTATAGCACAAGGGTAGGCAACCTTGGCTCTTTTATGACTCGTGGACTTCAACTCCCAGAATTCCTGAGCCAGCCATGCTGAGGAGAAAGGGAAAAGCTTCCATACTGAGCCATGCTGGCTCAGGAATTCTGGGAGTTGAAGTCCACGAGTCATAAAAGAGCCAAGGTTGCCTACCCCTGGTATAGCACAAACATCAGTACAAGAAATGTTTTATGACATTTTATGGTCATTTCAATGCCATGAAGTGTTTTATAAAATTTGCCAAATTTCAACTCCAGGGGAGTCAGGGATCCCACATTTTGGACCCGTTCTGTAAGTTAACCTGTTTGGGGTATCTTGCTTCAAAAATTGTTGCGGTATTTCTCCCGATTAAAGATTAGGGAGATGAGAGTTTTAATGGCACATAGATAATATACATAAAAGTAGTGCTATGCTAATATCTATTGTATCCATAGGATGGTGTCAGAAAGAGAAGAGGGCAGATGTGGTGTCAGAATGCAAGCCCCACACCTTTTGAACAGACAGGGTTTGCAACACCATTACACCGCCATATTGCCTTTTTTGACCCTTCCCCTCTCTTCCTGTGGATGCCACTCATCAAGACTGGCGGTTTTTCAGATTGAAAGTCATAGTTTTGATGCAGTAGAGGAAATCCCATTTTCGAAGGTTCCTGCATGTGAAAACAAACCAATAAATCCATTACTGAGGGGGTCCTTGGTGCTCTCTGAGCTTGGTTGTTTTCTTGCAGACATTTCATTACCCAACTGGGTAACATCATCAGTGCTAGAAAGGAATGGGATTTGCTCTCAGTTTATATTCTAGTGCAGGGGTCTTCAAACTTGATCCTTTTACGACTTGTGGACTTCAACTCCCAGAATTCCTCAGCCAGGCATGCTGGCTGAGGAATTCTGGGAGTTGAAGTCCACAAGTCGTAAAAGGGCCAAGTTTGAAGACCCCTGTTCTAATGGCTTGCCCTGTCATTGTTGGTGGGAATGGTCTTGGTGGTTCTTTGGTTGGGGTATTGTTTACTTCTTGACTGTTGGTCTGAAAACAAGGCTCACACAAGGGCCCCTCATCTCAACCCTGAAATTACAAATACTTCCCTTTATTAAATATTTCATTGCTTCTAGATAGGAGTTCATAGAGCTTATGTGATTCCCCCAGCTAAAACTAGTCCATCCTCAAGCAAGCTTTCTCCTATGGCTTTGTGGGTTGTACATTTTGACTTTTTAGTTCTCTACAGCTAAATATTTCTTTGATGTATATTATTGAATTACTAAAAACAGTGAGAACTTGAGAGTTGTGAACATCAGTCCTTTTTTCCCCATATATTCTTCTTTCTTTTAGAAATTCCTGGTACTCCACAAATAACGCAGCCGCCTGAAACTACGGAAAGTACTAAGTAAGCCTCTTTTTGTTTGTCTCCTGCTGTTTTCCTGTACGTGTAGTATTTGATTTACAACCATCCGTTTAGAATAAAGTGATTTATGAGTGTAATTGCCAGGCTCAATTACAGTAATAGGTTGAGGACTGTATATCAGTGTTTCTCAGCCTTGACAATTTTAAGACATGTGGACTTCAACTCCCAGAATTCCACAGCCAGCAATGCTGGCTGTGGAATTCTGGGAGTTGAAGTCCACATGCCTTATAATTGTCAAGGCTGAGAAACACTGGTATATATGTTCTAATATATGGAGGCTCTTACGAATTCCAGTACAAGGACAAAATCAGTTGTAGGGTGCCTCCTAGTGGTCAGCAGCAAATATAACAACATTCTTTTTTCAACTTCTAAATATTTGATCTGGGTATCTGATTTGCCAGATGCTACAGCCAGCTGTACTGAGACAACCTTAGTCAAAGTTCTTTTAATGAGATACCTTTAGCCCTGTACTTAACTTATCTTGCTCAGATAGGAAAGGTACCCCATGGAAAGAGGGTTTCATGGCTTATAGTGGAGGAACCCCATTTAATCAAAAGTCATGCCTTTACTATAGCCTAATTCATGCTGGCTGAGGAATTCTGGGAGTTGAAGTCCACAAGTCGTAAAAGGGCCAAATTTGAAGACCCCTAGCCTAATTAGAAAAAAAACCAACTTTCTGCATGCAATATGTTCTGGCCAGAATGATTGGTTCTTCCTAGTAACACTTGCTGATAGGGCAGGAAAGAAAAGGGAGAGAAAAGTGGCCTTCAAGAGAAAAAAAACCATGCCTATTGTAGCAAGGTTGTGTTATACATCCTGCATAAATAAAGCTCTCAAAAGTGTACACATACATAACACACATATAAACATGCTATATACATAGATATGTATATACCTACACAGTCTGAGGGTCTTACCATGCAGCATGAACATGAACTACACCAGGGGTCTTCAAACCTGGCAATTTTAAGACTTGTGGACTTCAACTCCCAGAATTCCTCAGCCAGCCATACTGACTGAGGAATTCTGGAGATTGAAGACCACAAGTCTTAAAAGTTGCCAAGTTTGGAGACCGCTGAGCTACACCAAGGGAATTGTGTTCTTGTTTTCACAGTATCTGTTGTATTAAACAAATGCCTACATGGTTCTGATAATAGATCACATGTTCTCACGCTTCAGTGACTGTGGTTGTTGCTTCCATGAGCGTTTTCAAGAACATTACAGGTGGTCCTCAACTTACTACCATTCATTTAGCAACCATTCAAAGTTACAACGGCACCAGAGTAACTTATGCCCATGTCCTCACACTTATGACTGTCACAGCTTCCCCCTGGTCATGTGATTAAAATTCAGGTGCTAGGCAAGGTTGAGGTTGAGAAGAGTGACTTGGTTAGATCATGCTGTGACTTTCACATTTGAGTGGAGTTTTGAACCCTGATATGGTCCAGCCGAGGTGGTGCAGTAGTTAGAGTGCAGTACTGCAGGCCACTTTAGCTGACTGTGTTCAGCAGGTCAGCGGTTCAAATCTCACCGGCTCAAGGTTGACTCAGCCTTCCATCCTTCCGGGGTAGGTAAAATGAGGACCCAGATTGTTGGGGGCAATGTAAATATATATATACATTGCTTACTGGTGTAGACAGCTTAGAGAGTGCTTGCACTTAAAGCGGTATATAAGTCTCATAAATAAATAAATAAACCACTTTACTGAATTGTCTTCTCAGTTCTGAGTTTCCTTCTCCTATAACTCATCTGCTGCAGCATTATCTTGATACAATATTTAAAATGAATTCTTCTGCAACATGAGTCTGAAAGGAGTTGACCACGTGCACATTCAAAAAATAATGATGATCTTGCATGATCAGTTCATCCATTCTGTCTTCTTCTTCTTCTCTCCAGCAATGCTGAGGTGCCCTTAGAGACTGATGGAGTTGAAGAACGGGACACAGAGGTAAATTCCCACTTGCTAGCAGTGCTCCCTACTAGCACTGATGATGTTACCTAGTTTGGGTAATGAAATGTCTGCAAGAAAACAACCAAGCTCAGTGAGCACCAAGGATCCCTCATTCCAGCCTGAGCTACAGTTAATCTACTTTGTGGATTATAGCTCGTTTGGTGAATATGTAGGTAACTATTAAAGCTGAATGCAAGAGGCATAGGGAATGACCTAGGTCATGGGTAGGCAACCTTGGCTCTTTTATGACTCGTAGACTTTAACTCCCAGAATTCCTGACCCAGCTATGCTGGCTCAGGAATTCTGGGAATTGAAGTCCACGAGTCATAAAAGAGCCAAGTTTGCCTACCCATGACCTAGGGAAGGGCAGTGTTTTTCAATCTGAGGGATTCTGGGAGTTGAAGTCCACATATCTTAAAAGATTGAGGAACCCTGGGGTAAAGAATAGCCCAAATAGATATGGTTGCACAATTGGTTCCATTTGGGGAAAATGTGGTGGGATTCCAAACCTGGCGTGTTCATCATCACTGCAATTGTTCCCCCTTTCTTCCCAAGCATGTGGACGACCAAGAACAAAACAAGTTGGAAGCTGAGGACGATGAAGACGAGATTGACGACCTGCCAACCCGGCGATCACGATGGCGGGGGATGATCTCACGCAAGGCTAGCCAAACCAGCGTCTACTTGCAGGAATGGGACATTCCCTTTGAGCAGATTGAACTGGGTGACCCTATTGGCCAAGGACGGTGGGGCAAGGTGTACCGGGGGAGATGGCATGGCGAGGTAGCCATTCGTTTGCTGGAGATAGATGGGAACAACCAGGATCACCTGAAGCTCTTCAAGAAAGAAGTGATGAACTACCGGCAAACCAGGCATGAGAATGTGGTGCTTTTTATGGGTGCTTGCATGAACCCCCCTCATCTAGCAATCATTACCAGGTAAGGATCGTCATCTTGGTTGATCTCAGGCCATTTTTCAATTTGTATGGCCGCCATCTCGTTGTCATGCCAGAAACAATTAGAAAAAGTACCCCAACAAGAGCAGCAAGGGATAGGATTTTAATTGTAATATATTTTTTGAGTTATGAGCCATCTGAGTCATTGACTGATGGGTGGCTATAGAGCAGTGGTTCTCAACCTTTCTAATGCCGTGACCCCATAATACAGTTCCCCATGTTGTGGTGACCCCCAACCACTTGTACATCACCGGGTGCCAGAGGCGTGGCCAAAGAAAAGGGGGAAAAAATGGTAGACAGCCTTGTTTGGCGACCCCTGTGAAATGGTCGTTCGACCCCAAATGGGGTCCCGACCCACAGGTTGAGAACCACTGCTATAGAGAATGAATGAATGAATGAATGAATGAATGAACGAACATTCATGTCCTCCCCAACCAACCTCTGACAAGCAGACTCAATGGGGGAAGCCAGATTTTCTTAATGACTGCGTGGTTCACTTAACAACTACAGTGATTTGCACCCTGGCAAAAAAAATACTAAAATCAGATGTAACTCACTTAAGAACCACTTTATTTAGCAATGGAAATTTTGGTCCCAATTGTCGTGATAAGTCAAGGACTACCTATATGCTTCAGTGAAATGTATGAATTCAGCTTAACTGTGGTTAGTTTTCATCAGACACAGCAGCTTGAATGTTATATATTGGGTTTAAGTTAAAGATGGGTTAGTGGAAATGCCAGTTACAGTACAAACATTTTGTATAGTGACCTTCAAAAAACAAGGAGGAAGAAGGAATTTTGCTCATGAGCCATTTTCCAGCCAAGATTTGATAAAAATGTTGCTGCTGTTCTATATCCAGCTATGCTGACTTTTTGGGAGCTTGTGTTAATTTCTGTGATCTATGAGTCTTCCTTGAAATGCAGTGCTGAATATGCTCATGAAAAGAATCTATAATATCTTTTGCAAACTCAGAAAAGCTAGTTTTCCCTGATTTTTTTTTTTAAAAAGGGGAAATAATTGGGTTGCAGTTAAAAAAAAGAGACATAAAGAAAGCCGTATACAAAATCAAATGAAATTAAAAGAAAAAATGGTCACATGTACTTGCCCAACAACTTAGTTTTAAAATTGTAATACTAAAACGAAAACAATAAAAAATTGTACAGACTAAACTGATATAAATCATCTAAATGCGTTGTACATTTAATCATTTAATGACAATAAATGCTGAAAGGAATTCTATTGTGTTATTACTTTGGGTTAACGATAATGGAATTTCTGGTTTTTTAAAAATAATTGTTGCAGTGTGCCAGTGTTAAGTACTTATCATAAGCCAACTGGTGATTTTCTTTTAGGTCTGTAAATTTTTAAGGTGTAATTTTGCTTCCATAGTGAGTGGTTGCAATAGCAATTTGCTTTGGAATCTTCTAAAATGTAGAATTGTGAGAATATCATCCATGATGTATTCTTCTGACATAGTTAAACTGTTTTCCAAGCTGTGTGTCAACACTGCTAACATCGGATATTCTTGCTTTGACAATATATGAAGATGCAGCCATTTTCTCTTTAACCTGTGTGTTACTTTTAGAGTTAGAATTAGATCAGGGGTTCTCAACCTTGGCAATTTTAAGACTTGTGGACTTCAACTCCCAGAATTCCTTAGCCAGCAAAGCTGGCTGAGGAATTCTGGGAGTTGAAGTCCACAAGTCTTAAAGTTGCCAAGGTTGAGAACCCCTGAATTAGATGATGCTGGGGGGAGATGGGAAATAATGTGTATGGGGATTAGTTAGACATAACAACATCGCAGTAGAATATTCTTCAAGGTTGTTTGAAATAAGAGATGATAAGGAATGGCCCGGGTTATAGAACTGGAGGGAAGGTTTGCATTTCAAACTAATTGGAGAATGTGATTTATGACTGTTAATTGGAGGAGGGAATTGTGCTTGATACTATGTGTTTAGGGGAGGGGAATTCAGATTTTGGCTTCAACTATGTAGGTGCCGAAGCTATGCTGCTCGATTATAGATTCTTTAAGGTAAACAATGCAGAGTTCTTTGAAGAGTTTCATCTTTTGGAACCATGACACTGTGTTTTCATGGTGAACATGGCTAGTTAGCTTGATGTGTCAGGGTGAAGGTATATATTGGAACCCTATGAAATACGCTGTGTAGAGGTCCATATTAGAAGGGGGGAAAAGTCACTCAATCCTTGTGTGGATGCAAAAATATCATTGTTCAGCATCTCCTTAACTCAAGAATCTTCTTCTGGATTGTATTCCAGCTGCAGACAGCAGCTGGACGTCCCCAGGAAAAGACATAGCTTCTTTAAGGAGTTGCTTATCCCTGTCCTCCAACTCATTTTTCCTCCCATCCCTTTGACATGTAAAGGTAGCCCTCAACTTATGACCAGTCCTCTAATGGCGATTTCAGGTTATGACGGCCTCAGAAAAACTGACTTACGATCCAACCTCAAACATATGACCATTGCATCGCTTTCCTGGTTCCCTGATCACGATTTGGGCACTTGGCAACTGGCTGGCATTTACAATAGTTGCAACATCTTGCAACCACCTGGTTGTGATTTGCCACCTTCCCAGCAGACTTCCGACAAGCAAAGTCAAGTGGGGAAGCTGCATTTCCTTTAGGACCATGTGATTCACCTAACCAGCATGTGATCTTTTTAAAACAACCATGGTCAAAGAGATCCTGGTAAAAACGACCATCTGAGGAAGATGGGCAGTTCAAAAATGCGATAGGTAGGTAGGTAGGTAGGTAGGTAGGTAGGTAGGTAGATAGATAGATAGATAGATAGATAGATAGATAGATAGATAGATAGATAGATAGATAGATAGATAGATAGATACATAGATCGATCGATCGATAGATCAGGGGTAGGCAACCTCAGCTCTTTTATGACTCATGGATTTCAATTCCCAGAATTCTTGAGTCATCATAGCTGACTCAGGAATTCTGGGAATTAAAGTCCATGAGTCATAAAAGAGCCGAGGTTGCTTACTTCTGAGATAGATAGATAGATAGATAGATAGATAGATAGATAGATAGATAGATAGATAGATAGAGACAGACAGACAGACAGACAGACAGACAGACAGACAGACCATAAAATCAGTCATACATGATCATTCACTTAATAACCACATCACGTGGCAACTAAAATTCCAGTCCTAGTTGCAGTCATGAGTCGAGAACTACCTGTACTGCTTCTACAGTAGATGCCAATTGTTATTAAGCTTTCTTTCTAACGTATTTGCCTCCCTCTGTTCCTTAGTTTCTGCAAAGGAAGGACGCTCCACTCGGTAGTCAGGGACCCCAAAACACCTCTGGACATCAACAAGACCAGGCAAATAGCTCAGGAGATTATTAAGGTAAGAAGGAGTCTGCTGAGGGATTTGTGTTGTTTTGAATGTCTTCTGGATAAAGCAACTGCTCTTCCTAGGCTCCATTCCGGTGGAGGAGAGCAATTTCACTGTGCTGGACTCCAGTTGTATAGTAGTGGCCAAAATTGTGGAAACTTTTGGGAAAAGTGTACAGTAGAAAGGCCACCTTTGGTTAAGTTTCCACCCATTTTTCTTCTAATTTCTTTATAACTGTAGCCTTGTTCACTTAATAATACTATTTTACATAGCTTTCTAGGCAACCAGTCAAATCTTTGCACCATGATTTTAATTTTATTACGTTTTACAAGCTCACTCAATGAAAGAACACAAAAGAACCCAACCAACTTGATAGCGATCACATAACACACTGACAAATGTCCTCCTCTCAGCTTCAATACATGATATCAATAACCGAATCCTACTGTGATCTGATTGGCTCATGGCCAAAACAAGATGACACCTGATTGGCTCTCTAAACACTCACGCTCATTGGCTACAACCAGATGAAGGAAAGCTACCTGATATCAATCTAAGCATGTTGTATTTCCTTTTTCTGCTTATTTGGCTATAGCTTTTCATAGAATACGGTACAGATAATAGAACAAACTTTGTTGCATTATATTCTTGATTAAATTATCTTTCCATTGATATATAATTTTATGGTAGTACTCCCCCCCAAAAAAGTGTTATTAGCCATCAAACCTCAAAAATACACTTTTCCCAAAAGGTTTCCACAATTTTGGCCACGACTGTAAAAGACTCTCCGGATTTTATTTAGATACATTAAAGGTTTTTTTTTATTTTCCCAATTGTTTTCTCCTTTTACACAGTATTTATTCAAGGCAGTTTATCCCAACCATTTTAAGATGTGTAATGACTACAGTCCTGGCTGGGATATTATGGGAGTCAAAGTCCACATATCTTAAATTGGTTAAGGTTGGAAAACACTAATTTAAGGCTACTTTCTCTCGCTTGAATCTCCTGAGTAGAATTATAACCCTGATCCAAGCCAGAAGACTTATTCATTGGCCTCAAACCTAGATATGTATTCATGATTTTTGGCTGTGGCGAGGTCTTAAAATAATGTGAATCACAGATCTGCTGCTGCTGGGGACCTTCAAAACAAACAACCATTGAATCATTGTTTAGGTATTGCATCACTGTGCTAAGCTAAAATCCATTTAACCATGTTTTGGTAATTGACAATAAATAATCAAATAAATATAAAAAAATAAATCTGAATTCATAGACAAAGCTATTAACTGTGGTTTACAGTGACTAACTTCACACAATTTGCTAAGTACCACAACTCACCTATGTAACGTGAATAAGTCAATTGAGTGGATTTTGAATAAGCCCTGAAGCAAGACTGAAACAATTATATGTTTTTTCTGTTTAACACTGAAGCAGGATCAAAACAATTTTATATTTTCCCGTTCTCCCATTCATACACACGTGTGTAATTGTGTTTTTTTTTTTTACCCTAGGGCATGGGGTATCTTCATGCAAAAGGGATCGTGCACAAAGATCTCAAATCCAAGAACATTTTCTATGAAAATGGAAAGGTGGTGATCACTGACTTTGGCCTGTTTGGAATTTCTGGTGTGGTTCAAGAAGGAAGGTGGGTCTTCCATGAATTGTTGGTTTCTCTTAGCTGTCAGGTTTAAAATCTGCACCTCTGATTTAGCTGTGGAATCCAGAATCCATCCAACAAAGCATAGGTAGTCTCTGATCATTCACTAAGCAACTGTTTGAAGTTACAGTGGACCCCCCCCAAAAGGACTGGATTTAAGGTTCCAGTGTCCATACACATCCACACTGCAGTCACATGAGTATATTTTGGTCTCTGCAGCCAGCCCACATTTATAGCTGTTTGCAGTGCCCCGTGGACACATAACCACGATTTACTATGTTTTTGTCAGAAATTAGCATTTACTTCTAGTTTCCAGCAAAAATCCATCCCATAACCAACAATGGGATTGCTTAACAACCATGGTGTTTGCTTAATGACCACCACAAAAAAAGATAATAAAATTAGATGTAGTAATATGGTGACCTTATTACTATCATGACTTACACCCAAAATGCAGGCTCAATTATGGTTGTTAAGTAGAGGACTACCTGTATTTCTTCTGAATTCATAACATCTGTATTTTTATTTTTGCAAACTGCCCAGAGTTATTTGGAATTGGGCAGCTTCTAGATCTGTGGTTGTTAATCTTAGCAACTTTGTCCACCAGCGTGTGGACTTCAACTCCCAGAATTCTCCAGCCAGCATACCTATATTAACATGGTGGGATACTTAACTATCAGCCTGTGGCTTCTTCTTGGTTTCAGATTTATTGTAAAAAAATAAACTGATACTGATATTCAATGCTCAACCATTTATGATTACGAAATTATTTCATCCTGTATGGATTTTCATAGGGAAAGATTTGCAGATTCAGGTCTTGATGTACATAGATGAGATGGAACTAAAAATGTGGATCTTCTCAGTGAAAGGGTCTCATAATGATGACATTTCTATCTAATCAGAATAGAGCTGGAAGGGACCTTGGAGGTCTTCTAGTCCAGCCCCCTTGCTCAAGCAGGAGACCCTACCCCATTTCAGACAAGTGGCTGTCCAGTCTCTTCTTAAAAACCTCCAGTGGTGAAGCACCCACAACTTCTGAAGGCCAGCTGTTCCACTGGTTAAATATTCTCATTAAGGAAATGTCTCCTTAATTCCAGGTTGCTTCTCTCCTTAATTAGTTTCCATCCATTGTTTCTTGTCCTGCCCTCTGGTGCTGTGGAAAATAAGTTGACCCCCTCTTCTTTGTGGAAGCCCCCCCCCACTACTGGAATACTGCTATCATGTCATATCATATCATCATATCATGTGCTATCATATCATCTAATAGAAATTCATCAGTGCTTTTTTGATTCTCCTGGATTTAAATCTCAGTTTTGCTGCTTTCAAATTTACAGCCTGGTCTTAGGATATGACTGTTTTTGTTTTTTTTTAATCTGATGTACTTGGTTATTGTATTACTGGAAAGCCACTGCATTCCAACAGCCATAAAATGCTGATAAACTTGTGCGACATGCAACGAGTCATATATTTTAAATTTTCTATGAGATGCAGCTAACTTTATAGCTTGCTTTTGACTCGTCATCTGATTGCTACAACCACGTAGGAATTCTAGGAAGCCAATGACCACATTTTTTCCTGGACTGTTCATTTCCAGGCTTGCTGCTGAGAAAGAACAAGATATACTTGTTCTTTATCACTCATTTTGGTCGAAAACAGCCTTCTGTATTTTCAGGCTCATAATTTGCACCAAATAAGGACGGTGCCACTGATTCAATACAAAGACTGTTAGCCCCTTTTCGAAGCCTCTTGTTGAGTTCAATGGGATTCACACCCCTTCAGTTATAGATCCAAGTAAAGAAGTGTGAAGTTGCTATCGAAGTCCTTAGGTTTAAGTGGAATATGCTTAATTTTCTTTTCAGGGCTAAAATTCACTATTGGAATAAATTTTTTAAGACTTGGAATTCAAGCAGAGAGACATATTTGAGGAATGGGAGTGGTAGGGGCTACATAGGATTACACAGGCACCTGAATTAGGCACGATAAGAATTTTACTCCTGTCTTAGAGAGAGACACTTTAACCTTTGCAAAGGAGCTTCTATGTCCATCTGAAAATACAAATTACCAAGTCATTCGTGCAAAGCAAAAGGGGGGGGGGTTCAAGTCTTTTTATACAGTACAGAAACAAACATAGATAGATTCTGTATATATGATATTTCAGTAAGCAAACAATCAAACAGTAAAAGATACTAATTGCATGTGAAGTTAGAACAATAGAAAACACTAATTCTAGACAACATTCCAAGTGACAAATTTATGGGTCACATTACTCTTTCCCAGCTAGATTTGTATCTTTCTTGAAAGTATTCAAGGACTTTCCAAAAACAGTATCTATTGTGTAGCTGCTAAGAAAGGCAAGTTCTCACATACCAAAGAAATGGCCTTGGCCAAGAAAGAAAAAATATGCTTTCTTAAATTTGAAAAAAAGAGATCCAGACTACTATATTAAAAATGCTGATATTAAAGCCTAAAATTTGAGACAACGCTACCCAGGATCTTAAGAATCAAAAGTCAGAATATTGCACAGTGTTTCTACCCTACAGATGACCTGGCCATCTGCTCTTTTCCTCAACGGATTTTTCTTTCTATGCCATCAATACATCATTTTCATTTTTTGGCTGATCAGTGATTGCAGAAAATTTAAAAAATCAATGACAAGGTTTGAGTCAATGCTGCTATGGAGAAGTTTAAGAGACTCTTATCTATCCCCTCCCCATCTGTACCCCTTTTTCACTAAAATGAAAAGAAGGACTAGGGGTGACCCAATATCAAAGGGGCTGCCACAAAGAAGAGGGGCTCAACCTATTCTCAAAAACACTTGAAGGCAGGACAAGAAGCAACGGTTGGAAACTAGTCAAGGAGAGAAGCAACCTGGAACTCAGCAGAAATTTCCTGACTGTTAGAACAATTAATCAGTAGAACAACCTTCCTCCAGAAGCTGTGAATGCTCCAACACTGGAAGTTTTTAAGAAGAGACTGGACAGCCATTTGTCTGAAATGGTATAGGGTCTCCTGCCTGAGCAGGGGGCTGGACTAGAAGACCTCCAAGGTCCCTTCCAACTCTGTTATTCTGTTATTTTATTAAAAGGCAAGGGAGGTGGGCATTCCCATAAAGGTCCCCCATTTCTAGGAATCATCTCACTCCCCAATGAATTATTATTAATAATAATAATAATAAAGTTGGAAGGGACTTTGGAGGTCATCTAGTCCAACCCCCTGCGCTGGCAGGAAACCCTATACCATTTCAGATAAATGGCTGTCCAGTCTCTTCTTAAAAACTTCCAGTGTTGGAGCATTTACCACTTCTGGAGGCAGGTTGTTCCACTAGTTAATTGTTCATATAATAACATTGGTCATATAATAACAAGGATTTAATCCAGCGGTTCTCAACGTTTGTGTGACGGCAACCCCCGTCACACAAACGTTATGCGCATGCGCGGCGTGGTGCCACCCCATGCGCGGTGCGCATGCGTGCACCGCCCCCGGAGGGGAGAAAATGGCGGATCGCCACCTTTGGCGACCCCCGAAAAATGGTTGATCGACCCCAAATGGGGTCGCGACCCATAGGTTGAGAACCGCTGAGTTAATCATAGCTTGCCCCCATGTTTATTTGAATAGCGAAACCATGTCTCCTTAGTTAAGTAGGTCATTTGAACGGGAGAGAAAGAGTGTTCAAAAGATCTCCCTCCATCCCATTGATTTACTTTAAACTAAAAATTGAATCTAGGATTTTGCCACTCACAGTGGGGGCTTAACCCCTGGGTTGTGGTAGTTGCATCAGTCTGCATGCATCCCCCTTTTGCCCTTACAGATAGGTAATTCCTGGTAGATGGAGCCTAGGGCTGGTAACACCCAACACTAAAAGGGGGAAGGAAGGTCACTGAGCTATGGAGCATGATAGATGGGAAGTATGATGCAGATCTGGACAGATGAGCAGGACCTGTTTTGCTCCTCATTAGGAAGAGTACATTAAGAAACTAAGCTTCAGGATTAATGATTGTAACTATGATTTATGGCTTATCACTTTTTTGCTTGTATGTATACTGAGACTTATGCACTGGAGACAAATTCCTTGTGTGTCCAATCACACTTGGCCAATAAAAAGAATTCTATTCTATTCTATCCCATAATTCTATTCTATTCTATTCTATTCTATTCTATTCTATTCTATTCTGTTCTGTTCACTAGGGAGAAATTCATGTGATTTAGACATAAAGCAGTATTTCTCAACCTCAGCAATTTTAAGATGTGTGGCTGGTTGGGGGATTCTGGGAGTTCAAGTCCACCCATCTTAAAGCTGCTGAGGTTGAGAAGCACCATGGTAGAGAATCATTTGTTGGTGCAGCAATTATATATTTGGGAACCAGTCTTTGCTGAATTATGCCAGCTCTTCCCCCAGCCCATCCCTGTTTTATTCTCCTCCTTTCTGACATCAGGCGTGAAAATGAACTGAAGCTGCCCCATGATTGGCTGTGCTACCTGGCTCCAGAGATTGTGCGCGAGATGGCTCCCGGGAAAGGTGAAGATAAGCTGCCCTTCTCCAAAGCTGCTGATGTCTATGCTTTTGGGTAAGAAGGAGAAAAGGTCACGGCAGGTGCTTCTTCTCAAGATCAGCAAAAAATACCCTGCCTTTCTGGAAAGAACACGGTGTGCCATCTGGGGAAAGCTAAGCAGGTCTGGAAGGGGTTAGCTCCTGGATGGGGGACAATCTGAGCCTAATTTTAACTTGGCTAGAGAATGTTGAGAGACACAATCAGTGCCTTGATGGCACCCCATATCATGCCCTGAAAAATCGTACTATATTGTATACAATCATGAATTCTAACCACTGGACCACCAGGAATCCAGGTGGCGCCGTGGTTAGAATGCAGTATTGCTGGCAAATTCTGCCCACAGCCAGGAGTTTGATTTGGACAGGCTCATGGTTGACTCAGCCTTCCATCCTTCCAAAGTCAGTAAAATGAGGACCCAGATTGTTGGGGGCAATATACAAATAATGCTTACCTTGTGCTATAAAGCACTGTGCAGTAGTAAAAAGACTAAGTCAGGGGTAGGCAACATTGGCTCTTTTATGACTCGTGGACTTTAACTCCCAGAATTCCTGAGCCAGCCATGCTGGCTCAGGAATTCTGGGAGTTGAAGTCCAGGAGTCATAAAAGAGTCAAGGTTGTCTACTCCTGGTCTACGTGCTATTGCTATTGGATAGCAGGAAGACTAGTTCCCCCCCCCCCAAATAATCTATGTATTGGAGGTAGTCCTTTACTTACAACAATTTTGTAAGTTCGAAGTTACAACAGCACTGAAAAAAGTGACTTATGACCATTTTTCACACTTAACAACTATTTCAGCATCCCCATGGTCACATGAGCAAAATTCAGAGGCTTGGCAAGGGGTTCATATTTATGATGGTTGCACTGTCCCGGGGTCATGTGATCAGTTTTTGCAACCTAACAAACAACGTCACTTCGGGAAGCCAGATTCACTTAACAACCATGTTACTAACTTAACAAATGCAATGATTCACTTAATAACTGTGCCAAGAAAAGTCATAAAACAGGGCAAATTCACTTAACAAATGCTTCACTTAGCAACATAAATTTCTGGGCTTAATTATGGTCATAACTCGGGGACTACCTATATAGCATGATGGGGCGTTTTATAAGTCTAAATGCTAGTGCTATCGCATAGCAGGAAGACTAGTTTATTTCCCCAAATAATCTATGTGTTGCTAAACCTCTCATTGTCATGACTTTAATTGGGTGTAATAGTACAGCCTAGGGCAGGGGTAGGCAACCTCTTTAATGATTTGTGGACTTCAACTCCCAGAATTCCTGAGCCAGCCATGCTGAGGGGAAAGGGAGAGGTTTCCATGCTGAGCCATGCTGGCTCAGGAATTCTGGGAGTTGAAGTCCACGAGTCATAAAAGAGCCAAGGTTGTCTACCCCTGGCCTAGGGCAACAGTTTTTGAAGCTTGTACCTCAAATGAGGTAAATAACAGAATGCGTTCAAAATAGGAGGACCTATGATTCCCGAGGGACTGAAATTTGGGGAAGCTGTGGCTGCCTCAGGGTGGCTGGGTTGCTGCAGCAGTCACGAGATCTTCCCTTTCACTCTAGCGGTTATACGCGATGCAATTAAGCGTTGAAAAGGGTTGGGAACGATGCTAACAGTGTTTTCAAAAATCAAGTGAAATATTTGCATCTGTGGGTGTGAGTGTTTAACCTGTATTCACTGATTTTTATATTTTACATCTTGTGGAAATGAATGACATGTCAAAAGTCATGACATTTGAAAATTGCTGTTCCGGGAAATTTCAACTCTCTTTAAAAAGAAAAATAGCTTTTTCTTTTCAAACACAGTCCCAGTTGTGGTCTAACTTAAGAGGGTTTTTTTTTTTTAATAGTTTGTCACACAGTCAGCCAGATGTGCAGACTATATTTGGCATTTTGTCTACCGATTATTATTAACTTAAATTATTAAGTTATTGTCTTGATGTTTTTTTATACAGGCGGTCCTCGACTTACAACAGCTTGTTTAATGACCGTTGAAAGTTACAACGGCACCGAAAAAAGTGACTTATGACCGTTTTTCACAGTTTATGACCATTGCAGCATCTCCATGGTCATGTGATCAAAATTCAGACCATTGGCAACTGATTCACATTTCTGACGGTTGCAATGTTATGTTCCCCTTTTGCGAATGTCCAACAACTAAAGTCAATGGGGAAGCCAGATTCACTTAACAAGTGTGTTACTCACTTAACTACTGCAGTGATTCACTTAACAGCTATGTCAAGAAAGGTCATAAAATGGGGCAAAACTCTCTTAATTAACTGTCTCACTTAGCACAGAAATTTTCAGCTCCATTGTGGTCAGAAGTTGAGGACTACCTGTAGTACAGTTCTCAGCATTATTATGATCCTTGGCTGAATTAGAAATGGGGACTTACCACCCAACACTTTGAGATGGGCCCCAGACTGGAAGGGTGTATTTCAGAAGCCAAATGCTTGAGCATCAGGATGCAGAATATAGGCAGTCCTCAACATACGACCACAATTGAGCCCAGAATTTCTGTTGCTAAGTGAAACATTTATAAAGTGAGTTTTGCCCCATTTTACGACTTTTCATGTCACGGCTGTTAAGTGAATCACTGCAATTGGTAAAATAATAACATGGTTGTTAAGTGAAACTGGTTTCTCTATTGATTTTAGTTGTCAGAAGGTCGCAAAAGGGGATCACATGACCCCGGGATGCTGTAACCGTCATAAATATGAATCGGTTGCCAAGCATCTGAATTTTGATCACGTGACCATTGGGGATGCTGCAATGGTCATAAATGTGAAAAACAGTCCTAAGTTACTTTTGTCAGTGACGTACCTTTGAATGGTCACTAAATGAACTGTTGTAAGTCAAGTACTATCTGCATATGAGGTCTATATGTTGTAAAACTCCAAGAACGTGTCAAAAACATGGCAATTACGCTTTGTCTCAAACATATGTGATTGATGTTAGGTAGATAACCTTGACTGTCATTTTTTATTGGCACTGTATTTGTGTGTCAGCTTAATTAAGTTAGTTGAAACCAGGCAGCGTCATTTGTGCGTTTTCTATTTGTTAAAATGTGTTCTGATAATCTAGATCAGGGGTGTCAAACTCAATTTCACTGAGGGCTCCATCAGCATTGTGGTTGCCCTGGGGGGGCGGGGTGTGTGTGGCCAGAGTGGGTGCAGCCTACCGAGTATTTGTGGATGGAGTGGGTGTGGCCTACTGGGTGGGCGTGACCAGTTCTACATCATTTGCGTCAAGGGTGCCTATTGGGGCCTGGGCAGGAATGGGACAGATCTGAGGGTCTCTGGCAGAAGGGGGCGGGACTGGGGCAAGTGCCAAGGCATGGTCCACCGGGGCAAGTTCCAAGATGGCCACCACAAAATTGTACATTGGCTCCCGGCTGGCCTGGGCCAAGGCCAAGGCAGCAGGGGCCATTCCCTCACTGTTTCCAGGATGGCTTCACAGGCCACATGAAACCACTTCGCAGGCCGCATCCGGCCCCTGGGCCTTGTGTTTGACATGTCTGATCTAGACTCTGAGGTTTACAATGGTACCTCAGTACTCATTGTTAATTGGTTCCTGGAGGTGCAATGAGTAAACAAAAATGATAAGTACCAAATTTTTCCGATAAGGAATAATGTAGTGAGTCATAAGACAGCCGACACTGACAAGTTTGGCTTGTTGAACACCAAACAAACAATGAGTAGCACGACAATTTGTTTTACCAAAATCGATGAGTTTCAAAGCAGTTGAGTACCAAGGTACTATTGTATAGTTAATAGTTCAGTGTATTGTGCAAAGCTAGAATACTGAGTTAATTCAGGAACAGAATTAAGCACATCGGACAATTCACTTGCTCAGAGGCTAGATGGGGGTGTGGTTTGCTTCCTGGTATATGGAGTTTTGTGGTAAGTGGTAGTCATTTTGTGAAAATGCCAAGAGCATGTTCTCACAGTAGTGGTTTCCAAAGTTTGCCTCCAGCTAGTTCAGGGGTCTTCAAACTTGGCCCTTTTATGACTTGTGGACTTCAACTCCCAGAATTCTTCAGCCAGCATGTCCACAAGTCATAAAAGGGCCAAGTTTGAAGACCTCTGAGCTAGTTAAACAATATTCCCAATGGGATGTTTTGGTTTACAATTCCCAACACCACTAGCCAGCATGTCACTGGAAAGCCAGCAGAAAAGCATTTTGCAACAGTTTGTGTCACCTTCAGGATTCTGTCAGCCAAAAGATTAAAAAGACAAAATTCATTCAGGTTGGCCTGGCATATGGTTTATTTAGACCCCACCTTTTCTACCGAAATTTAAGTGGCAACCACAGTGTTCACCCCTATGAGAATTAATCTTCCAGCCTCTGTTTGAAGACCTCTAGCAAAGAATTTGCTACTTCGTGTAGCATTCTGTTCCACTGGCTGATTTTTAAAGGAGCCCACATGAATGAATGAATGAATGAACAAATACCTGCTGGACTGCCTATTTGGTGACTTGGCTGTCAACATTGCAGACCTTCACCTTGGAACTGCTTTGCTTCTCAGGACCGTGTGGTACGAGCTCCAGGCCAGGGAATGGCCCTTTCAGAGCCAGCCAGCGGAGGCCTTGATTTGGCAGATCGGAAGTGGTGAAGGAATGAAGCAAGTCCTACAAGCTAGTAGCCTGGGGAAAGAAGTCGGGGTAAGTGGATGTGGATTCTGCCCTCAACCTCATGGAGTCCCAGAGTGGGATCCAGGAATCTTGGAATCAGCTATTGCCTGGGGCAACAAAAGAATGCACTTCCCATTCACAAATTCGATCCTTGTCTCATTTATCAGGTGGGACTTGAATTTCAGTTCTCAAACCTCCAGGAGCCTTTCCTTGGGCATCCAAATATGCCTCCTTTTTATTAATTTGGTTTACATTTCCCTTTTCATTGAGGAGCTCAAGGTGGCCCACATTGTATCCTATCCTCTTTAAAACAATTAGCAATACACTTAATGATCAATCACTTAGCAACCAGTAGAAGTTACAAGAGACCCCTCCCTCAATGTATTGATGACGCAGCTCCGGAGTTCTGACAATGGCATCCCCTACAGTCACGTGACTACATTTCAAGTGCTTGGCAACTGGCTTGCCTTTATGACCAGATGCCATATTTTACAGTCATGTGATACGATTAAGTTTGTTTGGTTTTTTTGTCAGGAAGGCTGGTTTCAGGCAAAAAAAAACCCTGTAGGAATGCATTGACTTGCTTAACGACTGCCATGTTCACTTAATCCAGTGGTTCTCAACCTGTGGGTCGGGACCCCATTTGGGGTTGAACGACCATTTCACGGGGGTCGCCAAACATCTCAGTCCGCCATTTTTTCCCCCCTTTTCCTTAGTTGTGCTACTCCCTTTTATTCTATTGGCTTTTGAAAGCCAATAGAATAGACTCTCTTGAATAGAGTCTAATTCTATTGGCTTTCAAAAGACAATAGGAATTGTCCAGGTTGTCTCTGCCCTGCTGAGCCCGCCAAAAGTCCCATTCTGCAAACGGTGCTGCACCAGTTGAGTAGTCCTCGACTTACGACCGGTTGGGGGTCGCGACATTAAAAAGGTTGGAACCACTGACTTAATCAGTGTGTTTGTTTTACAACTGTCATGTTCACTTAATGGCTGCTGCAAAAAAAAAAAATCTAAATTCGTATCAGTCATGTGGGTGCCTCAATGTACAACCATCATGACTTACAACAAAAATTCCAGGCTCCATTACAGTCATAAGCCAAGGACCAGCTGTAGTTTCTCCTTTTTCATCCCATCCAGTTTCCCAAGGATAGTGACATCCCCAGCCTGAATTCTGACATCCTTTTCCCCCTGCGGGGGCTCACGTCAATTTACTACCCCTGACAGATTATACAGGAGATACAAGAAGAGATACCATATGCTTGATTCCTGTGCAATTGGGGGCCCTGTTTTCTGTATCCAATTAATGCCTGCATTTGTTGAAGTGACTGAGCAGAGGTTCTGCAGCTAAGTTCAGTCTATCAACCTCAAGGTTTAGCCTATGACTTTATAAGTCAGGCTGGTTAAGAGCAGCACTTAGAAGTCGCCATCTTTAAATTGACAGTTTGAACTACAAGTCCCATTGCCACAAAGGATTGTAAATGTGTAGAGCAGAGGTCCCCAACCCTTTTGGGCACCAGGGACCAGTTCCGTGGAGGGAGTTTTTTCTGTGGACCGGAAGGTGTGTGGTTTTGTGTGCTGCCTGCATCCTGCAGATGGGGCTTTGCTTATTTGTGCGGACCAGTTGCTGGCATGCCATGGCCCAGTACCGGTCCACAGACTGGGGGTTGGGGACCCCTGTTGTAGAGCAGCTTATTTGGGCAGCTTGCAGTTAAACCAGGCTTTTTTTAAAAAAAAAAATCTTGTACAGTTTGGGCTCTTCGTATTGGAATGGCTTTCTTTTCGAAGGATGCTATGGATTATTTTTTTTAAAAAAAGACGATTGTCATCTTGTAGGAAATCCTCTCGGCATGTTGGGCTTTTGATGTGGCTGAGCGGCCCAAATTCACCCTCTTGATGGAAATGCTTGAAAAATTGCCCAAGCTTAACCGGCGGCTTTCTCACCCAGGACACTTCTGGAAATCAGCTGAGTACGTATTGTCTCTCCTTGTCTCACCCATTTCCAAAAATTGCATTTTATTAGGCTTTTGATTGATGAACAAATGAGTCATGGTCCCAGGGTGGCAGGTTTGATAGACACCCCCGTATTTATTACAACATACTAATAAGGAAGGCTTGTGTGTTTCCCAAATAAAGTGGCTATTTAACAAAATGGGTCTTCTTTAAACAAATCATAATATCATCCAACTTTAAATCTGCCTCCTCTGTCTCCTCCTGCCAATCACTTTTTATTTCACTTTCGTTTGTTGTCTGTGTGAGTGTGACTGCGCCAAGACAGAGTTTTCCAAGGAGTTGTGCCATTTAAAAAATATTTTTTTTTACACCTGAAGGGAGCTGGCTGAATGGCTGGCTGGCTGGCAGGCAGGCAGGAAGAAAGGGAGGGAGAGAGAGAGAGAGAGAGAGAGAGAGGGAGGGAGGGAGGGAGAGAGGGAGGGAGGGAGGGAGGGAGAAAGGAAGGAAGGAAGGAAGGAAGGAAGGAAGGAAGGAAGGAAGGAAGGAAGGAAGGAAGGAAGGAAGGAAGGAAGGAAGACTGGCTGGCTGGCTGGCTGGCTGGCTGGCTGGCTGGCTGGCTGGGGAATTCTGGGAGTTGAAGTCCACATATTGTAAAGTTGCCAAGATTGGGAAACACTGCCTATGTGTAGTGCACATAAAAAACAACCAGAGCTTCAACTGCCACGTTGACTTTTGAGACAACGCTGTGGACATCCCTGAAGTCTGGACAGAAGCCCTCCTAGCCAAAATGCAGGTAGCGGTATCTGTCTTACAGTAGTCCTCAATCTACCATCATTTGTTTAGTAACTGTTCAAAATTACAGTGGCACCGAAAAAATATGACAATCAGTCCTCGCAGTTAACAACCATTGCAGCATCCCCATGGTTATGTGATCAAAATTCAGGCACTTGGCAGCCAGCATGTACTTACAATGGTTGCTGCACCCCAAAGCCATGAGATCGCCATTTGCAATCTTCCCAGCCAGCTTCTGATGAGCAAAGTCCATTGGGGAGCTGAATGCCTGCCTGATTCATTTAACGACTGCAGAATTTTGCCAAGGCAAAAACGATTGTAAAATTGGGTGCCACTCGTTTAACAACCACCGTGCTTAACCATAGACATTCTGGTCCCAGAACTGTGATTGTAAGTCAAGAACTACCTGTCATCCCCTTTTCTCATGCTGCTAACAAATACGGTGGCATCTGATGAAATGTGAGAAACATGCACCTCACACACAAACACACCGAATGTCTTCCCTGCATCACTGAAACATTATTCTTGCTTCTGAGCTTCCCATCATTTCACATCAGAGAAGCAGTATCTGGGTTCACTTGTTATACAGTGATACCTCGGTACTCGTTATTTCTGGGAGGGGCAATGAGTACAAAAAAGGAGGAGTCCCAAACGCCAAGATCACCACAAATGGGGACTGCAGCCAAGAAATTAAAAGACGCTTGCTTCTGTGGAGGAAAGCTATGGCAAATCTAGACATCATACTAAAAAGCAGAGACATCACCCTGCCAACAAAAGTGCGTATAGTCAAGGCCATGATTTTCCCAGTTGCAAGGTATGGCTGTGAAAGCTGGACCATAAGAAAGGCTGAGCGCCAACGAATTGAGGCCTTTGAACTCTGGTGCTGGAGAAGACTCCTGCGAGTCCCTTGGACTGCAAGGCAATTCAAACCGATCAGTCCTAGAGGAGATCAACCCTGACTGCTCTTTAGAAGGCCAGATCCTGAAGTTGAAACTCAAGTACTTTGGCCACCTAATGAGAAGGAAGGACTCACTGGAGAAGGGCCTAATGCTGGGAAAGATTGAGGGCAATAGAAGAAGGGGACGACAGAGAATGAGATGGCTGGATGGAGTCACTGAAGCAGTAGGTGTGAGCTTAAATGGACTCCAGAAGATGGTAGAGGACAGGAAGGCCTGGAGGAACGTTGTCCATAGGGTCGCGATGGGTCGGACACAACTTTGCAACTAACAACAATAACCCAAACAAACCACGTGATTTTACTATGTAATATTTTGTTTTGGCTGTGAAGAACTTTCTGTTAGTTTTTCTGTCAGTAACCCTCCCAGCATGGCGGACTTCCTGTCTGCCCTCTGTGGCCATCCCCCTCCTCTTACAGTGACCCTCCCAGCATGGCGGACTTCGCTTTACAATCACAGTGATCCACTTAATGACCACAGCCAAAAAAAGATCACAAAATCAATCACAGTCACATGGTGACCCACTTAATAACTGATATGTTTTATGATGGTAATTCTGGACTGAATTATGGCCATAAATCGAGGCGTATCTGTACTCTTTTTTTCAGGATTTCCTAGAAGGAGGTCTTTTTCCCCCCCCAAGAATTTTATTAATAGTCTAATAAATGTGTTAATTTCATGAGACAAAATGAAAATAAAGATAATAGGAAAGGAGGGAAAGGAAAAAAGGTGAAAGAGAGATGTAGGGCAAAGGGGTAAAAAAAAAAGGCATTAACGTTCAGCTTTGTCCAGTGCAGTCAAGTACAAAACAGAATTTTGACCTTGAAGTTCTTCTCGTCCAACCTCTGGCCCAGAGCAAAAAAAACCTGACCATTTGAGACCCACATTTCTGTGGAATCAGTTCAGTTAGGAAAATGAATAGCTAAACACACAAATCTCTTTTTTTTCTGTGTTTCTGACCTTTAAACCTTTTTGACTGTGAACTAACTCTCCCCCCTTTTGTGTGTCTTCCTTCTACTTTCTCTCTTACAGGTTGTAGCTCCTGGCGCAATGGCTGAATTTCCTCTTGCATGAGCACTTGTGACTAATCTACCCAGCAGCTCCGACCTTGTGCACACAAGCATGTGTGTACCTGCTTTCCGTTTTTAACCCTTGAGTGCCCCTGATGCTGCTAACAGTTCCTTCTTACGTCCTGCCTTTTTTCTTGGTGTGGGCTGCTCATCTGAAGTAACCTGTCTGTTAAGAACTCTTGCCTCTTCGTTAACACTCAACTACATGAAATTTTCCCACTCCTGAAAGTGCAACCCCCCCCCTTTCTCCTCGGAGCAACTCACCTGTCAGGTTACCCACCCCTCACCCCTGTGCTTTCTCTGTCACACTCTCTCTCTGCACTCCTACCACCAGCCTGATCTGCAAGATGTAAGCAAACACAAAATGCAAACACCTAACAGCATTGCGTGCTTGTCTTTTGTAGGCGAGTTTTAAAATAAAGACACGTTGAACTCTAGTGTGCATTTGACTTCCAGCAAGAGAGACATTAAAAACCTGTGTTGATTCTTCCGTAACAGCTCCAGTGGGGCTAATTAGAAATCTATCAATTTTTATCCCACCCAGCCAGGGGATAAATTAAGACCAAGTCTTTAAAAAATATATATATCTGAACTGATGAGTGACTGTAACAAGTGCTGAGTTGGCTAATTTTTCATTGTGTCAAAAGTGGTATATCTTTGCATGTTTCAAAGGTGATGGCATCACTTCCATTGTCTTTTAGAATACTGTATACTGTTCCTGTTTTATCACTTTAATGTATATTCTGCCTTTCTATAAACGGAAGAAGCATTACTGCATGCATGAAAGAGAAAGGGGGGGGGAGAGGATTTCTTTTCTTTTTTTAAGATTGTCGTTTGTACATTATTATTTGTATTAAAAGCAAGAACATTTTTAAATGGCAGTCCAGTTGAAATGGGAACAACAGTTTAATGGGGAATTTGAACATGAACTAATTTCTGGTGTAGTCCTGTTTATGTCTGTACTGTCCTTGCTGTTCTTTGAGCCTGGTTGCTGGTTTGCAGACATTTTATGACGTGACTAGGTAACGTCATCAGTGCTAGTGAGTGTGGGGTTTGTTTCCTTTTTATATAAAGCCGTGGTGGTGTAGTGCTTAGTTAGAATGTATTGCAGGCTAATTCTGCTGACTGCCAGCAGTTCGATTCTCACTGGATCAAGGTTGATTCAGCCTTGCATCCTTCCAAGGTCAGTAAAATGAGGACCCAGATTATTGGGGTCAATAGGCTGACTCTGTAAACTGCTTACAGAGGGGTGTAAAGCACCGTGAAGCGGTATATAAGTCTAAGTGCTATTACAATTTCTATTGCTATATACAATAGCTTGACCTACCAGTGCAGGTGGGGATGTGGTTTCTCCTTGATAGTTCCTTGATTAGACTATTGTTTTTTGCTTGATTGTTTGTCTGGTACTTATCCCTGCTTATCTGGGTGTTAGTTGCTGGAGAGAATGTGTACTGTTTTTTTTTTTTTTGCTTTGTTTCCTTCTTAATGTTTTTATTGTCTCTTTTGAATGGTGTGTAAATGTGATTTATTTCTATGTGTCTATTGAGGGCTGAACAGGGAGCAAACCCCACACTCATCACCACTGATGATGTTACCTAGTTGGGTCGTGAAATGCCTATAAGCAAGCTCAGAGCGCACTGAGGAATCCGCAATTCAGTGCTGAGCTTCTGATGTATCCAAATCTATTTATGTCTGTTTTAAAATAAGAGGGATACCATTGCAGCCTAAATGTTTCAACGGTTCCAGTTTCGCCCATGACGGTTTTCCTCCCTGGAAATCTTCTCATAGCAGAAAGCAGTGGAGAGATTGATGACACCCATTTAGCTAATCAGCTGCAGAAGGCGTTGAATTGATGATATGATGCCTTTTAGAGCATGGGAAATTCAGAGTCTTCCAGCTTTTCTTCCATAAAGGATCTCAAAAAGAAAGGCCCCAGTCTGATAACTTAGTGGGTCCTTGGCCATCTAAATAGCCAGGGTACATTTTTTTCATAGATAATAGTGAGCAAAGCATCCAGCTAAATACAGAATCCATTTCTGTGCTCATACGTAAATGTAGCCCATAGATAACATCCATCACACAATTTCCTTTCATGATACTGTTAGCCCTTGACTCACAGCTGTAACGAAACCCAGCATTTCCATCGCATGTCATGATGGATGTAAGTCATGGAACCCCACGTGACCAACCCAATTCTATAACATTTCCTCCCGTTGTCATTAAGTGAATGTGGCGGATGTAAAGTGAACTCTGCAGTCATTAAGCAAATACTGCAGTCAGTAGATGAAACCATTGTCCGTAATGGGTGGGTTTTTTTGCTGGAAGCCAGCAAAAAAGTTGTAAATTGTGGTCATGTGACTGCGGAACACTGGAAATGGTTGTTGATGTGGGCCGATTGCTGAACACCCAAAATAGAATCACACGACTGCTGGTTGGGGGACGGCCATCAGATGTTTGAATCTAGGTTATGTCCATCATAACCTAGTGCAGGGGTAGGCAACCTTGGCTCTTTTATGACTCGTGGACTTCAACTCCCAGAATTCCTGAGCCAGCCATGCTGAGGGGAAAGGGAGAGGTTTCCATGCTGAGCCATGCTGGCTCAGGAATTCTGGGAGTTGAAGTCCACCAGTCATAAAAGAGCCAAGGTTGCCTACCCCTGACCTAGAATGATCACTAAGCAATTGCTCAGAAGTCAACTGTTACCTCTAAACAATGTTATGTCAAGCACAGAAAAAGAAATAGCATGCAAAGGAAATTAAAGGCAGAAGAAAAAAGAAAAAAAAATCTAATTAAGTCTTGTTGACACAGCACCATTGTTACACAGGTAGTCCTTGACTTAACAACCACAACTGAGCCCCCAGTTTTCATTGCTAAGTGAAACAATTGTTAAATGAATTTTACCCCATTTAATGACCTTTCCTGCTATAGTTGTTAAAGGAATCACTGCAGTTCTTAAGTTAGTAACATGGCTGTTAAGTGAATCTGGCTTCCCCATTGACTTTGCTTGTCAGAAAGTCACAAAAGATAATCACATCACCCTTAGACCTTTCAGTCTTCATAAGTATGAGTCAGTTGCCAAGCATCCAAATTTTGATCATGTGACTATGGGATACCACAACAGTCGTAACTGTGAAAAACGGTCATAAATCACTTTTTTCAGTGTTGTTGTAACTTTGAACGGTCACTAAAAGAACTACTGTAAATCGAGGAGTACTTGTATTAAGATATTGTTAAATGTGTAATACTTTGCCTATTATGCTACATACCTGGGCTTCTACCCCTGAACCAGGTCACAATCCCAACATCTGCAGGTTGGCCTAGGAAAGTTTCTTGTCTGAAACCTGATTAGGTGGCTGCCAATCAGTGCAGGGTAATATTTGGTTAGCTGGCCAGTAATGAACATGCTCTGTTCAAAGTGGCCTCTATTAGAATCTCCTAAAAAGTGTTATCATGTCTGAACTACAGGAATCTAAAGAACTGCTAGAGGGCAACAAGGAGAAAGCTCTTTGCTTCCATCTAGAGGCCATTTGAAGTTTTCCAGCCTATATAGTATATGATAATCCAGCGATGGCGAACCTTTTAGAGACTGAGTGCCCAAACTGCAACCCAAAACCCACTTATGCATCGTTGAGTGCCGGGTGGGTGTGGCCCTTTGGCTGGGCATGGCCCATTGGCTGGGCGTGGCCCATTGGCTGGGCGTGGCCCATTGGCTGGGCGTGGCCCATTGGCTGGGCGTGGCCCATTGGCTGGGCGTGGCTGTGGTGGTAACGGCAGACTGGGTGGGACTAAAAAGTTCAGTCAATGAATTCCAACTTTGCAAGATCTTTTTTTTCCTGCGAGAAGTTGAAATTGACTGATTGAACCTTTTCTTTTTTTTTGCACATGGCGAAGGCCTAAAGCGAAAAGATTTTATAAAACCCAGCTGAAGGCCTAGGACTGGGGCGACAGTGTGCGTGCCCACAGAGGGGGCTCTGAGTGCCGCCTCTGGCACCCGTGCCATAGGTTCGCCACCACTGTGATAATCATACTAATCCAGCCATGGGCTATTTGAACTTCTTTGCACTTTGGCTGTTGCTTGGTCAGTGCAGTTAGTCCTCAACTTATGACACTTAGCAACAATACCACAAATCCCCATGGTCACGTGACTGCATTTTAGACGCTTGGCCATTGGCCTGCATTTATGTACATTTGCAGTCTCCTGCAGTCATGTGTTCGCGAATTTTAACATTTTTTCCCCAAAAATGGCATTGACTTCGTTTCTGGCAAAAACGCAGCAAAGAGACTTTACGACCATGGTGATTGCTTAACAACCTCCACACAAAAAAAGGTAATAAAATTGCAGCATATTTTATGACTGTCACAATGTGTGATAGTAATTGGCAGGCTCAATTAAGGCCATAAGTCAGGAGTCTTCAAACTTGGCCCTTTTGTGACTTGTGGACTTCAACTCCCAGAATTCCTCAGCCAGCGTGAGTTGAAGGCCACAAGTCATAAAAGGGCCAAGTTTGAAAACCCCTGTCATAAGTCGATGACTACCTGTAGTCAAGACAGAAAAGTGCCTCAAGACTCACAAATACTCTAGAGTGGCCCTTTTTGTAAGAGAGGGATGTGAATGAGGGTTTTCTTATCCTGAAAATTATTTTTTAACGAGAAAATGTTACGGGACGAAGTTGTTCAAAACATTTGAAGTGCATGCACATTTTCTATAGGAGAGCTGCAATGTCTTGCTTTCTGTGTTGGAAATTAGAACCTGTTTGTTTGTTGGCATTTCATTTTACTGTAGAAATTAACATGTAACTGTTTTAATTTCCATTCTCCTCCTTTTCCCCTTCAGCCTTAACAGTAGCAAAATGGTTATCCGTTTTGAACGATTTGCCCTGGGAGATCTGGAATCCAGTAATCAAAAGATATAGCTTGCTGTGTTTTAATGGCCCTTGGCTCCTGTTTTTTTTTTTTTTTTTCCTCTGTGCCATTCACACGCCTGGGAAAAACCTGTCTGCGATCTTAAAACGGAAAATCCCAAAAATTACGGAAGGAGAAGATGGCGAAGCCACCCGCCCCCCCCCCCCCACCGCCCTGGCAATATGGATGTTTGATGTGTTTGCTTAAGTCAGAGGCTTCCTTTTTGAAATGTTTACATTTGGATTACTTTTTTTCTGTGTGGATTAACGGTTAATAATAAACGTGATAAAAAGATGTCTTTTTTCAAAAAAAAAAAAAACACCAAGCATTTTCACTATCACTTTTCTTATTTCAAATTATTCAGGCACTATTTAAACTGTATGATTACAAATCTGGGTTTTGTTGGTAAAGGAGCAAAAGAATTTTGCGTTGAGAAGGGGACCTTTTGTCAGCTGAAAGACTAACAAAACAGGCCTTGAGGGCAGCATGGTCATGTCTAAGCGGGAGGGGGGGACTATAACCCCTTTATGATTTG